TGTGTTTTTGAAAGCAGTGTGATATTATTATGAGGTCATATTAACCTTTTAATTTTCTTCCACTGAACACAGGCGATCCTTTGTTTTTACAGGCTTCAGTGCAGCTAACATGAGCTGATTATTTCCTTTATCTATTAATCTGTCAGCTCTATTTTCATGTGTAGCCATGCAGATAGCTGTGGTTTTATTTGCTTTTTGTTTTGAGCTGTTTGTCTCTTCAATTTTTTCCGCTGCCACTCCAAAACATTAAAAATAGTTTCTGGGGAATATTTCGTAGTCCTCACATGGTAATCAAAAAAACATCTTGTTTATATCAATGTCTGCATTATCACGGACCCGTTTACAAAAATACAAAAAATATATTGATTTAGTGAATATGGATGATGTGCAAAGATGTAGTTGGCTGTTTGCGTATGAAAATTATAAATTAGCCTGGCCGAAAGGAAAAACACTCTTTATAACGTCAATTTCTATATATGTAATAGCTCTGTAAACATGAGTTCATGTGAAATGTCTGTGTGTATTTGTGCTTTTCTTTCAAAGATGGGAGCCATAAGCAAAATTCTATTCAAATGTCTAAACCTATTGACTCATATACAACCCAGTGCTTTTAAGCATATTGTTTGTTGATCATTATTACTTGTAATATTATAACCTCCTGACTTATTGTAAATGTTCTTTTAGCTCATCTTCTGTATTTATGTATGTCTATTTTGTGTGTTCTAATTAGCTGTAGGCTGTGTTCACTGTTGTCCTGTCGTTCCTGCTACACTATAAACACATCTGCACAAACAAGCGTGCGTGATATCATTTATGCTAATGACATGTTTTTGTCATTGTGCTAATGACATGCCATGTTACCTCACATCACCCTGGACAAATAAAACCAAAACTATCCGCAGGGCTTCATACAATTAGAGGTGAGTGAGAAAAGTTCCATTTAAAATTGTGTGAACCAACTTTATAATGGATTTAAATTTAAGTCTTAAGTCTTTGAAACATCTGATAATAACAAATGATAATAATAAAAAATAAATTTTGCACAATAGAGTAACACATTCTTACAATGGACAGGCTAGACCCAGCTAATTTTTGGAAAAATAATCTATTACCAAAATGGTAGTTGATAAATTTGCACCACAACAACTAATAAAGTGATTAATGAAGATTTGTATTTATGATTTAGCAGCAATGTTGTTTTCACTTGACTTTCCTTTGTCTGCAGATAAGTCGTGTCACAGAGAGCATGTGTGGCATATGTTTTTTGTGGACTGTATGAAAAGTGCAGGGCGCGATTAAAGACGCCCTGCAGCCGTCCACTGGAGCTCGAGGAGGGAAATGCATTAGCCCTTATCTTTACAGTGTTCACAATGATTAGCCAGAACATGTGACATCTCTGATAAAAGAGATTCCTCCATTAAGTTCTTAAGGCAAATGCATATTGTGGCCATCACTCCGAGAAATTCCCACTTAAATGCACAGATAATTTGTTGTTGCATTGCATTATTCCTGCCACATAACCAGACCCCAGCCCAGTGAGCAATGTGCCAATGATAACTAAAGATATTAATTAGTATATCGCGATGGCAGCACATGCGTTTTCACTATTAATAAATTCCAAGCCATCGGGTTATGATTTAATTATGAATTATGTAAATGGTTGCCATGAATCATTTACGTCTATGCATTTTATTAGCTAAATGGGGGTGCAGAATGTAGGCATATCACAATGATGTAGATCTACGCACTCGAGTGATGACAGCGCAAGAGCAAGAATATTTAGTGACTTTTTCCACAACTCCATGTAGGTTCTCTGCTAATGGCAGAAAACATTTCACATCAATTAATTATTGATGAAAGACGCTGTTTAATGGCAATTAAAGGGTCATGTTTACCCATAGGCCCTAGGTTTTAAAAGTTGCTTTGTGTGTACTTTAAGTACCACACGTCACTAAAATAAATCCTCCACATCGTATATTCTATACATTGAAGTTCCATGCAACACATTTGAAACAGCAGAGACAGGAATTGTTTTGAAGTTTCATCTATTCTGTCTATTATTGTTATTTATTGGATGTAATTTTGATGATCAATAAACAAAGTCATTATTTATCGAGCAAAAAACACAAAAGTTACATTTATCTTGTTGTGGTTTCTCAATTTTTAGGATTTGAGGAATTTTTTTTACTGAGACACAGAGATATGAGACACAAAACAGGACAAAATGGCCTCCTTTCCCTGAAATCAGCTAATGTGAACATACTGTCAGGCAAATATTTTGCAATTTTTCAAATGTTATACTTCTATAGGTACTTATCTTTGTGCCATAAAAGTCTAATGAGGATTTTTTTTTTTCTATTATTTTGTAAAATTTGCAAATATCTACATTTTCTTTTTTTTTTACCCCTTTTCTTCTTGTCAAGATGATGTATTACCAGGAACAAGGAGTATATTCGGTTTGAAAAGCGTTGTCAAATCAAACTGTCAGGCTGCACTTTTTGATGGAGTCGTATCGCTCGCTTATCTGTCAGTCAGAGAGAAAGACTGATGCCAAAGTCAAATTCAAGAGTTGAGAGGAGCAGACTCACATGACATGTCATCGTCGACAACAGCAGTGACGTCTGACACGCGGCGGTTTAAAATGTGCAGGGCGCATTTGATAAGTAATAAATTGACTGATACAGTGGATCACTTGAATCTTAACATGCTCATAAAGCTCCCTGTAATCTGCGATAAAAACTGAATATTGCCTGATCGCACATACAAAGAAGGGCCTAACACATTTCAGAGGGCATTAATCATCTCAGCATGGGATGTCATAAAACACTCACATACAGTAGGCTCGAGTCAGGCCCGCCCTATAAAACTCAATCATCACAACAGTGTCAGACATTGTTCTGACATACCAGAAAATTCCCCGACCCGGGGAGCGTGTCTCTCTGCTGGATTGTTATAGTGTTTACTCACACAAGAGTCTTACCCCAAGGCAAGCCCCACACCTCAGCAGACCAGCTGGAAGTGTCCCAGCCCTCATGAAGGAATACTCTATCCTCCCCTGCTGTCTGGACTCTGTCAGTAACCAGCAGCAGAGAGGCAGACAAGGAACCTTGAGATCAGTAGAGAGAGAGAGGGAGAGCGTCAGAGAGCAAGTTATCCATCCGGTAGAACAGGTAAAGAGAGAGGAGGTGCAATTTACAAATAGTTTGTCCACATCTTGTTCTGTGTGAGAATAAAAAGTTTTATCGTCAAACAGGAACTGCTGACCTCTGCACTGGAGTTTTTGCCATTGTTTATATTCAGTACAGTTTGTTATTGTTCAGTAGTATTTGTATATAATCCTGTTCTTTGGAAAGCAGCACTCAAAAAACCAAAAATGCATCAGGGAATGCACACTTAACTAAACTAGCGTGTGACCTTTAGCCCCCTCTGGTGGAGACATTTCTATCTGTATGGCCATGTGAGCTTTATTTTTGCAAGCTGTATACATTTAAAGTTTTGTACTTTTGATTTAGGAGAGAAGATATGAAGAAGGGATCGGTGCCTGGTTAAAATTTTGCTGATAAATCAGAAGAACATGTGGAAAGTTGGAAAATGCCAGCCAAGAAAAGAGGAAATTGTAGAGGAAATTTACTTCATAGAAAAACTGGGATACAATAAAAACTCTGGTATAATAATGAACATGCAACATGTAGTTTAGGTGCACTCTGCCCTCCTATGTTGAGTGATTGATTCTTTATATTGAGTCAATTACCCTGAGCACTTATCCCTGCACTGTAGTTAATAATAATCTGTCTCTGAGCCCCTGCTCGTGTGTCACACACAGACGTAACCAGGCGACAGCCCTCATCACGGCGTCAGTCTCAGATACAGTGTGTGACAGAGGTGGCGCGATAGTGTTTCTACAAAGTGCATTTGTCTGGAGACCTGACTCCCTTTGGGAAATCCTAAATGCACCATGAAAAAACACATGCACACACATGAACAATCCAACAGACCTGGGTGTGAAGGTGATGCTTCAGAAAAAGAAAAACAGATTCACATGCTGTCAAATTCTAACAAAGCTTGGTGCCTTTCCTCTCTCCACAATATACTGGGATCAAACCAATATATGTTTAGCAATATACATCAAACCAAAGATTGTATTAAAGGTCACAACTTTGATCCACAGATTGTTAAAAAAAATTCACAAAATTATTGTTTATTACTACAACTAATTATAGTATCAGTATTATTATTAATGATACTATTATTACTCAAGACCAAACCAAAGTACATAACTTCACTTTATGGGAGCTTCATTGCCATGACAACACTGCCCCTCTCTGTATGAACACATATATTACATGTCTTCATCTTGAAGGTTGTTATTTGAGCTGAAAAACTCGGAGTTGTTCAAGCAACAACCCAGAAACCAAACATCTTAGATTTAAGAACGATATTACATAATTCTCAGATTTCAGGAACTGGATGAACAAAACTTTGTGAATAATATTTATTATTTAAAACGCAGGCATTTAAACTAGCAGCAGAATAAATTCACAGTGTTTTTGGTTTCATGACTCTTTACAGTTTCCCTTTGACACAGATGCAGCAGAGGGTGTTTGTTTTTACAACCCTATCATTGGAGCTACAGCGGGTCATATGACTGAATACATGACTGACTAAAATGTAATACTTTATTAGAACTGGGATCACTCAGAGGCTGCTTCTCACACTACACACACGCAAGACTCTTTTGGACGCAACTTTTGTGGTGAGTCATTTTGTGTAGTGGTGTGTGTCGTGGTGTGTGTCTCAATTTCAGCGACATGATGCAGAGGAATCTGCACAGGTCATTGTTGACGTTCAAATATGTGTTTAATTGCATTTTGTGCTCTGATCTTTTGCTGGGGTAAAGTTATGTTGCAGGCTTTGCATTTTTACTTTAGTCCTTTCATGATGCTCATGTTGCCTTTGATCAAGTGGATCTTTACATTTCAATCCTCATGGAGGAAGCACTTGGACTGTGCATAAAGCAGCGTGTGGCATCTTTGTCATTGTTCATTTAACATGATTTCTTTCTGCAATCTGGTGCGATCCATCGCACTGGGAGCTGCTTTTGTCTGCGGTTGTATCCTGGGTAAGATCAACGGCATTTAAGAATGGAACCGAGGCAGATTATTGTTTTCACATCTTTTACTGTCTTAATATGTTCTGTGTTCAAGCTCCTGTGGTTCTGTGTAATCTTTAACACTTTAAGCTGCATTTTATGCTATCAAAAGTGCTATATGCATAAAGCTTTTTGTTATTATTATCATTATTACTATTATTATAAATGCCCTATCCTGCTATGTTAAAGAAAGTGAAATTAATCGAATTTCCCTTAAAAGTTAATGTTTTCTTATTTGGCACATACCAAGTTGTAAATGTTTAATAGTTACCGCAAAATCCTGGTAATAGAAAAACAGCAATGAAAACATAACTTCTTCGGTAAAGGTTAATCATACAGACAGTTCCTGAAGTGATTTGTGAGCAAACACAAGAGAAACAACCTGGTGCACACGCAAACCACAAAAGTAGCACCACAGACGTCATGTGGATGTGTCAGTCAACACTAAATCATTATATTACCCTAAAGAAGACAGGCTTTATCTGTATCCGTCCTGATGGTGAAATAATTGTATTTCCTCTTTGGGATCATAACGTTTGATATAATCTAAATCAAAAAACAACATTCTCTCAACCAGAGGTCTGTTTCTTGATACATTGAAGAGATAGATTTAAGTTGGAAGGTCTAATGACATCAGTGTGCTCTTAAGATCCTTATAATTGTTTCATGGCACATATTTGTCCGCAGGGAAAAGTGAATATTCCAGAATGAGCAACTCCACAAGAAACCGTGGGGGAAAAAACAACCCACTGCTGCAGTATGTCCACAATCACTCCATGAGGGAGCATCCAGTCCTGAGAAACCTCAGACTGGTAAGGATGTAACAGAATCTGGAGTAAATCTGTGAATTAAGCACTTGATGTCATAAGGTGCAATCACGTTCACCGTGTAATTTATATAACCGGTTTCCATTCATTGCTTTTAGAGAACGATGGAGGACTCCGACAATGCCATGATGGTCGCCTGTGAGCAGTCACAGTTTATGGTCAATATGGCAAAACTAATAAAAGCCAAGAAAGCATTAGAGATCGGTAAGTTGTGTTAAGATTTCACGTCTCATCAAGTCTCTGAAGTGTGTCTTCCTTGAGATCCCACAATCCTCTACAAGTTTCCATGTTTCTCCTGTCATCCATCGTGTGGATTGTTGTTGTCTTGCAGGAGTATACACAGGTTACAACACACTCAACATAGCACTGGCTTTGCCTGACGATGGAGTTGTGGTGGCGTGTGACATCAGTGAAGATTATCCCGAAATTGGAAAAACCTTCTGGAAAGAGGTACAATTCACTTTCTTAAAATAGAATGCTTTATAATGGGGATCAATATATGATGGTATGAATGTTGAAATCCTGACATAATTTCTCATCTGTTATCAAACAAATGATCCTACTTCTAAAAATATTTGTTTCTTTTTGTTTATAGGCTGGAGTCGAGCAAAAGATTGATCTGCGTATACAGCCAGCAGTGAAAACTCTAGGTACAGAAATACATTGCTTTTCTTAACTCGGTAATATGACTTAATTTTCCTGAAATAATATAAGTTAATAAAAATAGCGAGATTCAAGTTATTTCACATCCACAAGTTTCATATTATTGTCATTTTTACCTGGTGTCCTGTAGTTTCTGTCCTGTACGAATAAACTAAAGCCACTAGAGGTCCATGTTTTTGGTTACATGAAGAAGCTGTAATCAGTTTCACCATTTGACACATTAGCACCCAGCTGTGTATTAGCTAAACAATAGCATTCAGGTAAGCTAGGCTAATTAGCACAACAACACCAACTACCTGTTGAGAATATCCCTCCAGATGTGTTTCTTCTCTTCCCAGTGGTCTTTCTTTTGATCAGCATGAGACAGATGTTTGGTAACACTCTTATATTTTTTAAATAATCCAACGTCTACTTTGTGTCTGTCTGTCCTCTTCTTTCTTTCAGATGAACTCCTTGCTGCTGGACAGGCTAACACATTTGACTTTGTCTTCATCGATGCCGACAAAGTTAGCTATGACACTTACTATGAAAAGTCTCTGAAGCTGACGAGGAAAGGAGGCATCATCGCCATCGACAATGTAAACAAACAACAAATATTTTAGTTTGAGCTCCAGCAGGAGGAAATTTGAATTAACAATGTTTTTCTTCTATACAGGTGCTTTGGGGCGGGAGGGTCCTGAATCCGTCTCCTGATGATGCAGACACTGTGGCCATCGACAAGCTGAACAAGAAGTTGCACAGAGATACTCGCATCAACCTCACTATGCTCACAGTGGGAGACGGGCTAACACTGGCCATCAAACTATAGGATAGTTCTCTGATGTGTTCAGTGATTTACAGGATTTAGGAGGTAGGATACACAAGGAGACTGTCATCTTAAAGTTGGATGAATTATTATCTGGGGAATGTGATGGCTCCTGAAATATACTCATATTAGTAGTAAGTAGTATAGTCTGGGCTCATTATACTACAAGTTGATTTGGATATTACTAAACACTGGCTTGTGATAAAACTCGCATACCTAAGAAATGCAACGTTCAGTGGACGTGGATGAGTTTGATTAAAAAATGATACACCCCATTTCTTTTTGAATGCATCATTATTGAACTATAGATTTTATTCCATCCTCCACAAATACCAGGAGAGGTTAAAGGTTGATTTCAGGACTGTATTGCAAAGGTAGATACACCAACACAAGTGTCACAGTCGTCAAAGATGAGAAAAAAGATGGATAATACACTTGGATATTCTTTCAATCACATCACACAGGAAAAAAAAAAATCTGTTTTACAGTTTAACCATAAACTTTATTCAAAATATACCAGAGTTGAACTAAGTCAATAATAATGAAAAACATGATTTTTAAGGCAAAATGTAAATTTAAACATCTCTTTCATTTATTCTACCAAATTAAAGTTTTCATCTTGCACATCGGCAAACAAAAACATTGACACACAAGGCTTGTATCCACCGCGTCCGATATATTAGCCACACTCTGGTAGAAAGTTGAGTATGTCAATGAATTAATCCTTGGTCGATAAAACACCAGAAAACAGAGTAAAATGTCTATCAGAGCTTCCTACCGGGGCTGTCTTGTTTTGTCCACCCAAACACTTTCAATTCACTTTTAAGAAAGTAAAATATAAATTATGAAAGTCATTCCTCAAATAAAAAAAAAAGTGGAAGAAAAATGACAGATAATATTTCTGCTCTTTGATAAAGTACAGAACTTTAAACTTGCAGCGGAATGAAGTACAGTGTTTTTGGTGTCATCACTCTTACTCAGCAGACAGGACGTTTTTACTACACCCAGTTCCACTGACAGTTTTTTTAATCAGGTGACATCCTCCACTGACCAAAGGGAAGGGGCTCTTGTTTGCAGCAGAGGGCGTGTGTTGTTACAACCCTATCATATGAGCTGCTGCGGGTCATATGACTTTATACATGACTGGATCAAATTGAACGCTTCGTTAGAGCAGGGATCACACAAAGGCTTGCTCTGCATTTTTTGGGGTGAGTTGTCTTCTGTCCTGGGGTGAGTCTCTCTTCAGCTTCAGCTACACGATGCATTTGGAGGAATCTGCACATGTGTGTCTCCAAGTGTGTTCACTCGTATCTTCCGCTCTGATCTTTGCTGGGGTGGATCCGCGCTGCGTGTTTTTGAATCTTTACTCGAACATGCATTGGCAGGAGTCTTATCGTGATGCTCGTGTCGCCTTTAATCCAGCGGAGCTTCGCGTCTACTCGCCTTATTACGGTTAAATCCCGAGAGAGGACGCGCTCGGGTTGGCTCCAGTGCGTAAAGCAGCGTGTGTTACCTTTGTCAGAGCTCATTCAACGTGATGTCTTTCCGCACTGTTTCCAAAGAGGCACTGGTGGGATCCGTCACCCTGGGACTTGTGTTTGTCGCCGGTTACTTCCTGGGTAAGATCGAGGGGTCGTTTGAGCCTCGAAACCTGAAACTGAGGCTGCTCCACCGAGGCAGTGTCAGCTGTGGTGAAGTGTGTTTACAGAGCAGGTTGTGGACTCTGGTGAACACACGGCCCTGTGGGGGTTTTTTGTGTGGATCTCACTGGTTTCCCACGGGTTGAATCAAAGTTTCACAGAGGACATGCGGGGTTTAAAAATGGCCTTTAAGCTCTGAGTGGAAATCCAGACCGTGTGCTATAGAGCAGCTTTAAGAGGAGGTCACTTATCATGTGATCCGCCCCACGAGGAAACACATATGAGATCCGGAATGTGTTAATTAGGAAACTATTATTCTCCTGTTCACTATGTGATGTCAAAATACAGGCTACTACCCTTAGTGAGAGGTATAGAGGTTTATGGAGACGAAGTAACGCTGCTGAGTAGAAAGCTAAGTAGAGAACAATTGTAGATTATAAGAGAAAATCATATTTTTATGTATTACATTAATGAAAGTTGAAGTATGAAAATATGCATGATCACTTCAGTAGAATTCATTTTCTATACAGTCAATGAGTTGCACAATTTTACAACCAGTACAGAGCCACACGGTGCGAAGTCCTTGTCTACTTATTCGATAATTTTCTTCATGGAATTTATTGATTGTCATAATGGTATTCCAAAAAACTAGGAGCCTTTCAAAGAAACCATATTGCATTTACATGTATTGAGATCAGACACATTTGGATCTGAATTGCAACTGTTAATATATTAGCATTCTACACACGCCTCATTTTTTTTCCCATAAAGAACTCAGCATTATTATCTGTTAAAGTGACACATGTGCAAACATAAGTGCAATAACCTGGTGCATTTGCAAACCACACATTTCTTTATCTGTATCTGTGCTGATGGTGAAATAATTGAATTTCCTCATCGGGGTCATTAAGTTTGATCTAATCTAAATCGAAAAACAACAATCTATCGACCAGATGTCTGTTTCTTGAACGATGTTTAAGTTGGAAGGTCTCATGACATCAGTGTGCACTTAAGATCCTTATAATTGCTTCATTGCACATACTTGTCTGCAGGGAAAAGAAAATCTTTCAGAATGAGTATCTCTAAAAGTCACGGCGGGGGAAAAGACAACCCACTGCTGCAGTACGTCCTCAATCACTCCATGAGGGAGCATCCAGTCCTGAAAAACCTCAGGCTGGTAAGGATGTTACACAGAATCTGGAGTAATTCTGTGGACTGGCACAATTAAGTTTCACCATGTATTTTTGTGACTGTAATTCTATAACTGGTTCACATTGGTTGCTTTCAGAGGACAATGGAGGAGTCTGGGAACATCATGATGGTCGCCTGTGAGCAGTCACAGTTTATGGCCAATATGGCAAAACTAATAAAAGCCAAGAAAGCATTAGAGATCGGTAAGTTGTGTTAAGATTTCACATCTCATCTGGTCTCTGAAGTGTGTCTTCCTTGAGATCCCACAATTCTTTACAAGTTTCTCCTTCTATCCTGTGGATTTTAATTCCTTGTCATTGTCTTGCAGGTGTATACACAGGTTACAACACACTCAACATAGCACTGACTTTGCCTGACGATGGAGTTATGGTGGCGTGTGACATCAGTGAAAATTACACCAACATTGGAAAAAAATTCTGGAAAGAGGTACAATTCACTTTCACTATGCTTTACTATGTGGGTCAATACATGATGCATCATACTGCTGTATTTTCCCATATTACAACATTCTGATTAGTGAAGAGGATTTTCACGCAGCTCAAGTAGTGTAGTTGTGTTTAAATGATCTTGCTTTTATGAATGTTTCTTTTTGTTAACAGGCTGGAGTCGAGCAAAAGATTGATCTGCGTTTACAGCCAGCGGTGAAAACTCTAGGTACAGAAATGCATCGCTTTTCTTAACTCACTTTTCTTAATGTATCATTGCAAAGGTGAACGCCACAGGAATATGGCTCATGTTTTCTGAAATAATATAAGTTCATAAAAAGAGTGAGATTTGTGAGAAGATATTTCACATCAACAACTGCCCTGTGCAAATAATCTAATGAGTCTGAAATGGTCAAAAACTTTAACTTTGAGTATATTTTGATACCAAAGCACAAACATTAGTATCAAAATATACTAAAACTACCAAAATTTAAATAAACATACACATACACGCTGTGTATTGTTTAAATAATGTCTCTGGTAGGTAGTGATGTGTTTGGTGACATGAAGACGCTGAAATCAGTTTCACCATTAGACACATTAGCACCCAGCTGTGCATTAGCTAAACCATAGCATTCAGGTAAGCTAGCCTGATTAGCACAACAACAACAACAACAGAACCATCAACGAGTCTTTACGGGTTAAACCAAAATGTGACGTTGGTTCTAATAAAGTTTGGTTCAAATACCTGAACTCCCGTCGACCCGTTCATAGAGACACGTTCACTGTCTGCGCAAACAACGTAACAACTTCCTGAATCGACCGAACACACTAAAGGTAAGAACAGCGCAGTGACCATGGCGACGTTTTATGACGTCATGTGCGTAAATCGTAGAAGAAGAGTAGAAGACGTCACCGCGTGGCGCATTTATTTGTTTATATTTTATCAGCCGGTATTTGTAGTTTTTTAAATCCCCAACATGTGTACTAACAATTATCATTATCTTTGTTATCTGTCATTAAAACTGAAGAAAAAAGCAAATACAAGATATTCATGTACAAAAAAAATGTGTAGGATGCTAATACAGTATTTATATATTTATTTATTTTTTCTATTGAATTCAAATGAACATGATCAAAACCTACAATTGCTGCCATAATTATATTATCATGATAATATTATATAGTATATAATATATAGTATATGCATGTTCAAATGTAGTGGAGTGGCAGCGGTGGGTAAAAAAAAGACATACTACAAATTTTCCTTGACAATAGGTTAAAACTATGGATAATTTAAACTAAGTTTATTTTACTTCATTAGATCTTGAGAATCTGTGATTTCCCTGCAGATGTGTTTCTTCTCTTCCCAGTGGTCTTTCTTTTGACCAGCATGAGACAGCTGTTTGGTCACATTCTTATATTTTTTTAAATAATCCAACTTTGTCTCTGTCTGTCCTCTGGTTTCTTTCAGATGAACTCCTTGCTGCTGGACAGGCTAACACATTTGACTTTGTCTTCATCGATGCCGACAAAGTTAGCTATGATGCCTACTATGAAAAGTCTCTGCAGCTGTTGAGGAAAGGAGGCATCATCGCCATCGACAATGTAAATAAATAAACAACATTAAAGTTTGAGCTCCAGTAGGAGGAACATTTAAACAGTTAATCCTTAACATTTTTTTCCCCATACAGGTGCTTTGGGGCGGGAGGGTCCTGAATCCGTCTCCTGATGACGCAGACACTGTGGCCATCGACAAGCTGAACAAGAAATTGCACAGAGATACTCGCATCAACCTCAGTATGCTCACAGTGGGAGACGGGCTCACACTGGCCATCAAACTATAGGATAGTTCTCTGATGTGTTCAGTGATTTATAGGATTTAGGAGGTAGGATACACAAGGAGACTTAATGTGATGGTTGCTGAATCATACTCATGTATTGTCTCAGATTGTGGTACTAGGAGTTGATCTCTATACTCTGTATTTTTTATTTCAATCAGTTTTATTACAAGACCAAGTTCAGCGGACATGGATGAGTTTGATTAAAAAATAATAAACCCCATTTCTTTTTGAGTGCATCATTATTTAACTAGATTTCATTCCATTCTCCACAAATACCAGGACAGGTTAAAGGTTGATTTCAGGACTTTATTGCAAAGGTAGATACACCAACACACAAACTGTTTCCTGATCAAGTGTCACAGTCCTCAAAGAGAAGATGGATAATACACTCGGATATTCTTTCAATCACATCATACAGGAAAATAAAATTACATTTTTGTGCAACTTAAAAGCAGGTATTAAAGGTAGTGGAGGTCTAAAACTCATCACACAGCACGATAAAGCTTCTCTAGGAAGATAAGTGAAGACGAGTCAATCCTGATTGTTGGAGTTCTCCTTCAAAAAGGCAGAACTTTCATACCTAAATATGAAAAAATGTGCAAATAACACAAAAGGAAAGATCTTAAATAAAGGTTAAGTGTTCAACTGTGCAAAATAACAGCTCTGATTTACATTCTACTTAATCACACTTCAGCAAAATAACAAGATTGTTTCTGGATTGTCAGAGTCAACAAACCACACCAAGAGGTTTTTCTTCATTATGTAAAATAAACTGGCATAAGGAGTTACTGATTCATTCATGTGACTGAAACATGACTATATATTGGAACCACAATGAAAGGAGGCTACTGGAAGGCTTTCCATCTGAACAGTGCATGAGAGCTCGGCTTGTGTTTTGGCTTCATTTCTTTAAAATATCTGTTGCTGACCAGACAATAACACCCAGGGACTGAATGAGCTGATATTCTTCTCCTTGTGGAACAGCAGAGCAGATCCTCATGCCTCCAACTCCAGGCCCAGACCTAGTTTGTGACCACCAGCATTGATATTCTTCCCATCCACCTGTGCTGAGAGGATGAGTTTTATACCTGAAAAAATAAATCATATTAAAAATGGAATCAAGGCCAATGATGTTTAGCTGAGTTTTCAACTGTCAAAGATTTTTCTTACCAGGCCGCAGGGTCTGGGTGTATCCAATTCCTACCAAGCTGGCATTATTCACCTTAGCCTGCAGAAAGAGCATTGTATTATGTTAGAAGAAAGAAAATATGAATCCAGACGTACATAAACACACAATCAATCTATCAATAATCAAAAATAATATAATAAATGCAACAGATTATTTTAAGCAACTGACAGTAGATCTGAGAGTCATAAAAACTGATTTCTCATAGTGTGAAGAAATGTGTTTTTAAATTCATGGATCGGCTCCCAACAACAATCACGTTTCACTTCACAGGAACTGAAGTTCAACCTAACTTGAGATATCTTAAGGGTAACGGAAAGATAAACATAACCTCCTTTGCATTAGTAAAAAAAAGAGCACTCACTGTTATGGAGGCACTGGAGTCTAACTGGTATTTGGCAGCAATTCCAAAGCGAGTGCCGTTGCTGCCCGCTGTCCAGGCAAGATTCACAGCAGTCTCCAGACTGTCGTTTACCTTCTGGTAAATGGATCCGCCAAACTCTGAACCATCGTTTCTGAAAACAACAAAACAAAACAAAATCACTTGCATGTCACTATTCTTCTCACACGAGATAAACAAATATTATCTGTTTAAGTTATTTGACGTTAAGGTAAGAATCCTGCTGAGTGTTTTTTCTTGATGTTACAGCGTACATGTTGGTGTGGAGCTGGAAGTCCCCAGTCTTGTAGCCAATAGCGAAGTTGCTCTGGGTAATCTTGGATTTGGCTGAGTCAAAGGTCATCTGGTAGCCAGCCAGCCAGCCCTCATAGCCGGCTACTGCTGCTCCATGAATGGTAGGACCAGCAAAATCCAAATCTGCATCAACACCAACATTAACGTATTCCCTTTTATAAGCTGTCTTGACCTTGCCGCTCTTCTTGCTGTGAAACCAAACAAAAACAGAAAAATGAGGAAGCGAGACATTGGAAGGGTGCTCTTAGCATGTGATCATTTGAAAAAAACAATGAACTGTAGCTGACCCAGTATTTGGTGAAAACGTAGTGTCAAAAGTGAGTTTCAGGCCTTTAGTGATCTAAAGAGGAAGATGCTTTCGTCAGTCACACTTGATTTAGAGTAGTGCGTCATTAGTGGGATGATTGACAACATGATAACTTTTCCAGTTTACCTGATCCTCAACACAAATTTCTGTTCCAAGTGTGTTTTCCGTTGTCCACTTCTCTGTGAATGTCAACCCATATTCAGCCCACTTGTACTTGGTTTCCAGGGCTCCAGTGACCTTGCTGGTGTCTATGTTGGACAGCCCAGACGTTTTAAATTCCTAAGAGAGTTGAAAAAGTGAATCATTTATCACTCATAGCTTATATATGTTCTCAAAGCACCAATGACTTATCAACTATGATAACCTACAATGAGCAGATAATGTCTACAATGCACTGCTGCTTATGTGAATCAACCCACCACTCCACTTGGAGACTTTGTCTTCACATCAAGCTTTACCAGTCCAAAACCTACAAGGTCAAAGACAGAGAGGAACTATTGTTTGAGCGGTAATACATTTCAAAACAGCCACCTCCTCTGGAGGTCAATAAATACACCATTTTATTATAAAATTATAATTTTGTTTCCATTTACCATATCCCTTGTTGAAGATGTCCTTTGCTGATTTGCCAAGGTCTGCGTAAGCTGGAGGAACTGCCATTGTGCCTGTCACAAAATATCAGAGAGAGTAAATGTGACAGAACTCCTATCAATCAAATCAACCAAACTTTATTTATATCTCACTTTGCCAACAAAATGCAATCAAAATTCTTTCAAATGCATACCAAACCAATCAGTAATAGGAAGTACAATATTATATATACATATACTTTTGAAGCCTTTAAAAGGACACTTTAAAGGGGGGATATTGACAGTATTGTTAAACTCGTAGTTTGCTAAAACAGTAGTTATAAAGTTGACCTTACAATTGTACAGCCACTGTGCTCTCTATTACTTATAATTGCTGTTGTCACGACTCTTCACTGTCAAGGTTAAACCAGAAACACCTGACACACTTTAATTATGGTATGAATATCATTATAAATCATTATGTTTGATAAAAATAGAAAATTCCTCGTCATGACTCAACTGTCATTTTCTGTAAATCAGACAGATACGTGGTGGAGGATGGCTCGTTTCTGTTTTTACTAAATGTACTTTCGCCAACATTAATAATAATTTTAAAAAACTAAACCAGTAATTCAAGAAGTTTGAACATACACTGTTGCAGGGGGCGTTTTCTAGCTAGCTGGTGGGAGGTGTTAGCTTCACATATACAGTCTGTGGTGTTAGCCATCGTTCCGACATTCACACACAAAACAACACGAACAAACCGCAGTCGTTGTTGGTTCATTACTTACTCGTGTTACTGTCGTGGTCGGTTGTGTTGCTGTGAACTTGTGAGGTGAATAACAGCGGCAGAATGGAGGCGGAGTCACGTGTAGGACGAAGTGAAGGATTCACCGCAACCAACACGTCTCTCCTCCTGACCTCGGCGCCGGAAGGACCTGAAATCGTAGCTGCCCGCTTCGTGCCTGTGTGAAAAACCCGGAGCGATGTCATTTTTAGTGATTTTAGCACCAGTCCGGGTTATTCTTCTGTGATTTTACAGGAGTGACTATAACTATTTTTATTTTTTAAAGTTTTTAATGCCATGTTTGTGCTGACAGGGAACACAGGCAAGTGGAAGACCGCTGAATCACCATGACAACCAGTAAGCTGATGTAAGGGCCGGATGTCACTTTTAACCTGGGAAATTAAAAAATAAAAGAGAAATATGGAAATAATTTACGAATAATTATTAGTTGAAAAATAATCTGTTATATATGATTTATAGTATTTGTTATATTTTATTGTTATACACACACACAGTCACATGTTTAATGGATTTCCTGCAAACTTCTCCTAGCCTCCTAATCCTGACTCTTATCCTAATCTAACATTTACCTGAACTTTAACCTTGACATTAACTGTGACCTTTGTCCCCATAAGGAAGACAAGTCCCCATTACGTGACCATATTTAGGGACTGTTGGGTTTCTCTATAAATTCAAAGGTATCATATACAAATTAAGTTATTATTATTATATATTCAGGGCCCCACTACATGAGTAATACCTGGACCACACATAAAAACATATCTTTCATAGGGCATTGAATTGACTTCCATTCATTTTTGCATCACGAACCTCGAACATGACCAATTCATACAAAACTCTAATGACCTTAATCAGGACCTCAGAAATAAAGTTTTGCCTTATTAGGACTGGGCTTTGGTCCCCATGAGGTGGACTGGTCCTGACAAGGTCAATGTTTATGCTGGAAAAGGACTTTAACATATGTGTATGCATGTCTACTCAACTTTACAGGTTTGTAATTGGTTGATATGCACAGCAAACAATAGTAACTCTCAGGCTTCACGGTTGACAGTAAGTGATATGCAATAAATGTGGAAAAAATAAGAAACAGCTCTCTGATTTCAGCACTTTAATGATGGAAATGACCAAGCAAGACATAAAACAAGTCAAGTGGCTTTGCATATGAACATAAGAGCATCATCGTTCCTCAATTCTCTTACTGCAGTGGCAAGTACCACTCGATGAAATGCAGAGGCCTATCTGAAACCAACACTACACTTAAATAGCACATTGTGTTTAAAACAAAAGTTACCAGCAACTGTAAACATTTCTCCATGTGCATGTTGCTGCAACTGTACATGAAATATAAAAATACCTATTGACATTTACAAAAATGAAATAAATTAATACAAACAAATACCTACAAATGTAAGGGTCCTTTTAAAGAACCATTACTACAGATTTAATGTCAGAGTCATATCTGGGAGACTTTACATGGTATACGGGTCATTAACAGTGAATTAAAAAAAGCACTATCCAACTACCCGACTGTAAACATGTTAAGATTTGGAACATTTCTACACAGCAAGAGAACTATCGTATACTCAAGGTAATTGGCAAATGGAATAATATTTAAGACAGCTGGAAATACAATTCATTCCACATTTTTGGCTGATAGAGACATCTTTAAATGCATCTCTTCTAGGTCTGTTAAGAGAAAATAGGCTACGTGAACAATAAAAACAAAGAAGTCAATGCATGTTAATCTAAGCTGGATTTCTCTTTTAGTATTAAGCAACACTGTCATGATGTAAGCAAAATCTCAAGGAATGCAGGAGCCTTTCATAACATCTGCTTCTCACCATTATGGAAAGAAACTGCTATACAGGAAAAGAGCATTCGCAACTGGTAGCTCTTTACATATTGCTTCAACAGTGGTCCACAGAGTTATGTTCTGATACATTACAAAGTGAGAAGACAAAACCTTCACTCAGGAATCAAGATTCAAACCTTGAAATGATTATTAATTGCACTAGAAATGGTTAAGACCCAGGGCCACACTGGATGCATGAGTGGTACGTGTGCATTGCGGAGCGCCTTGTTATCAGGTTCGAGCAGCCACACTGCTCTTCGGGGCCTCGCCTATTTTCTTGACATGCCGCAGAATAGACAGTGAAACTTTTCATTCACCACATTTCATGTCTATCTGTCGAATATTTGCACTTCCTGTACCTGTTTCAAAGTAAAATCTAGCCTTTCTGTTGACTGAATTCATGTATTTGTTTAAACGTGATTTTTATTGTTATTGCAGGCCAGAAGATGCACAGCTTCATACGGTAGAGTCCTGACATTTAGTTGAGAATATTGGCCAGCTTTTATTCCTGGACCAAAAAACTCACATCTTGGTTCCACAACCGACTGGCAAAAGACGCAGCATATCAGCGACGCAGCTGTCACACGCTGCACACGCACCCTGTGTGGCCCGGGTGTAACTGCTGGGAAGGATTAGCTACACTGCTGCCTGAGAATTTTAAGACGTATCTTACTTCCTTCACACGCTATATAAACACTATGTCTTTAACATGGGAGTTACCGAAAGAAAATGTTGTTTGTGGAGATCAATCATACACACATACTGTGCCTCCACCTCCTTCAGTTTTCAAGTCAGGCAGAAAGTGTTTTTGCTTTTAAACTAGGCAGGGTTTTATAGATTTTGTTTAATCCTCCTAAAAATGGTGACGGGGAGAGCAGGTTAGAAGCTAAATCCCAGAATGTTAGAGGTTATGGCTATGTGTATCCCATTAGGCCTCAGTGCTGATGGGATGACATCAGTTGTCTTTCCTGGTGAGGACATCACACACCGCCTCAGTTGGCAACTTCACAAAGCAGACAAAACAGCACATGTTAAGTAGTTTCTGACACTGCTGGGTTTTTTTATCCTATCAGCCTCCTCATCACAGCGGGTCTGGAGAAGGGCCAGCAGTACTCGTTGGGGACGGGTCCATTGACATTGCACTCGAAGAAGGAGAACATGGGGAACCAGATGCGAGCTCGTCGGCTCTGCTGGTAGGCCCGGGTGTTCGCTAGAGTGTGGTAATACAGGAAGAGTCTGGTAGTGATGTAGAAGGCGATGAACACGTCGATGGAGTAGTGTTCATGTGCGGCCAGGATGAAGAAGATGCCGAAAAGATTGAGGACCCAGGACAACGTGTGAATGAAGTTCCAGCTCCGTGGAGTGTCTGTGTCAAAGAGACAGAAAGCAGTTTAATATATTATCTGGATTTTTACTACACCAAGCAGAAATGTAGCAGATTTGTGTGCGCAGGGCTTCTGCCAGTTTCGAGTTAAACTTCCCTATAATTGAAGATATGGTGAAATAGTCTTGCAGAAAATAACCCTTCAAATGTCATGTTTTGTTACACAAACTAGTATCCATGGGGACAAAACAAAGGTCTTGTTGGTGGTTTTATTACAGCGTGCTAATATCTGTATCATTGGAACTACAACACACACAGATATTATAAACTATGCATGCTGCCAAAACCTTTGGATGAATAAAAAATTATAAGCGTGAATGATGAGCGTTAACATTATCAAGACTGACCAAAACACATCTGAGACATATTTACGAGTTATTTAAGGCCAAAATTCAGATAAGACTGGGGACATCTAGTTTTTAAAATTTAACTTGTAGTACCAAAGAAAAACACCAAGTGGCAACAAAAGCACAATATTTATCAAATGTGGTTGATTCTTCATGAGTGAGTAATTCAACCCTCTGTTTCACAGATTTCTGTGACACATAATTTCTCATTATTTACATGAATGAATATGGACAAAATCTGGAAACCAATGTGACATATTAAATGTTATTTAAGTCAACCAAATAAAAACAGTTCAGACTGTATCAAATATTTATTTTGTGTTCAAGGATTTAAACCAGACAGATCTGTTGGATTATTAGCTCAAAAGATCATTCATTTGTAACATAGCGGCTAGGCCACATAATTCCTTTGAGACCATTAATGGAAGAATCAAATTCAGTTATCATTTAGTCAAATTAAATTTCAACTGAATCATAAAATTAAATATTTAAGGGAGTCTTAAAGAATACAATTCTGTGTTTCTATTTGCCAATGATGTAAAACCAAATTCAGGGGTTCACAGCTTGAAGCTACTCACACTCTGTGACGAAGAAGTTGAGCATAGTGAGGACCACAGTGTGACCGCTGAACATGTAGTCGCCACAAGTATGCACTCCGGTCAGGCTCATCCCAAAGCCGCTCCAGATGGCAACAGCTCGCTGCAGTTTGGCCCACATGTCACCGTATATCTAGAGGGAGGGAACAAGACAAACTGTGATTGCTACGATCTTGATGCAGAAATGTGGCGTTTGAAATATGACAAACACGATCTTGGTTAGTGTTCTACCTTTCCCGAGCACTGCAGGTGCTGTCCTGGCACTGACAGGGAGGTGACAAACATGGTGATGCAGCGCAGCATGAACACCGTCCCCATGAGGCTGCACAAACGTCGCAACAGGATGGATCTACAAGTGGAGAGAAATAATTATCCTGAGTCTTCCGTGTCATTGATTTATGGAAAACACTGTAGGTGATCCACAGAACAATCCCCGCAGAGATAACATTGTGCTGATGTCGAGGAGGGTTAGAAGTGTACCTGTGTTTATGCAGCAGCAGAACAAGCAGCCAGATGTTACAGAGGATCACTCCACACGCCTCGGCCATGGCAAAGGCCCACGGTATTCTAGGCACACTGTTGAAAAGGGAAAAAAGATTTTAGTGCTTATCTTCAAAGTTTCCACTTCCATGACTGATTTAATAGCATATACATACACAAGATTGAGGCCAAATCTTAAAAGGTTTGTAACTAGCCTGAGAAAATGCCCTCCGCACGTTTGATTTCTTCGAATGAATACTGGCATTTCCCGGAAATCAGCTCTCCCAATCAGACATTCCATGAAAAGCTCAAAGCTGGTCATAAGCAACAGTTCACACTACAAAGTAGGTCACTTTAAAAAACTTTTAAAGATCTCTTTGAACCAAAGCAAGCCCACCAGGAATATGGGAGGACAATAATAGAACCATGCTACAAAGATGTAGGGCAATTATAATGTCCACCATCTGGTGTGATGTCCTGACAGGTGATACA